CCACAGAGCCTAGGACTTGCCGATCAGAAGGTCGGCGGTTCGAATCCCCGCGACGGGGTGAGCTCCCGTTGCTCGGTCCCTGCTCCTGCCAACCTAGCAGTTCAAAAGCACGTCAAAGTGCAAGTAGATAAATAGGTACCGCTTCGGCGGGAAGGTAAACGGCATTTCCGTGCGCTGCTCTGGTTCGTCAGAAGCGGCTTAGTCATGCTGGCTACATGACCCAGAAGCTGTATGCCGGCTCCTTCAGCCAAGAAAGCCGCAACCCCAGAGTCGGTCACGACTGGACTTAATGGTCAGGGGTCCCTTTACCTTTAAGTTAGGGCAGGTGTAATTGCATATTTTGGAGACATCTGCATCTCTGAAAAGCATTACACATCACTTGGGAAGACAGGAGAACTAATGCCAGTGTACTGGAAAAAGCAAAGATCGCCAGTGTCGAAGTAATGATTCTTCAACATCAACTTCGTTGGACTGGTCATGTTGTGCGGATGCCTGATGATCGTCTTCCAAAGCAACTACTCTATTCCAAACTTAAAAATGGAAAGTGTAATGCTGGTGGTCAACAAAAGAGGTTCAAAGACTCTCTCAAGGCAAATCTAAAAAAATGTAGTACACACATCGACAATTGGAAAACACTGGCCTGCCAGCTCTCCAATTGGAGATCAGCCTTTACCAAAGGTTTCATGGGCTTTGAAGATGCTCAAACTCACAATGAAAGGGAGAAACGTGCTAAGAGGAAGGCACGCTTGGCAAACCCTCACCATGATCAATTCCCACCTGGAAACCTATGTCCCTACTGTGGAAGGACGTGTGGATCCAGAACTGGCCTCCACTGTCACTTACGGACTCACTTTTAAAACCGTTTTCATGGAAGACAATCTTACGCGGCTATGAGTGATCAACAAAGGAGAAAGAATTGCATATGCAGTGGTACCTCGGGTTACAGACGCTTCAGGTTACAGACTCCGCTAACCCAGAAATAGTAACTCGGGTTAAGAACTTTGCTTCAGGATGAGAACAGAAATCGTGCAGCAGTGGTGCGGCGGCAGCGGAAGGCCCCATTAGCTAAAGTGGTGCTTCAGGTTAAGAACAGTTTCAGGTTAAGAATGGACCTCCAGAACGAATTAAGTTCTTAACCCGAGGTACCACTGTACAAGCAAAAAGCGTCCCTCCTTTCTTCTGAGCTATTTGATATAGGGCAGGCACACCATAAAGAGCGCTATCCAGTGGGTAAACAGCTGGTCTTTAATTTACGACTAATTTAATTTTGTATTTTCTGCCACAGATGATGCAAGCAACCCTGGCCACCCTGCTACTGCGAAGCCTCCGTTTCCAGTCTGTAAAATGGGGGAAAGAACCACCTACCTACCTCACAAAGGCCTATCCCACAATAATAAATTTTGGTAGCTATCACGCCTCCCCACCCCCACCCCAGGAATTACTACCTCACAGGAGAGAAAACTTAGTGGTGGAAGTGACTTGCTAAATGCTAAATGATCAGAGTTAGTGGCCTTAAAACTGCAGAAGTAATGATGCATAAGTCATTTCTGAAAAACTACAGACAATTAAGCCATGCAGGAGAGGAGAGGAAAGGAGGAGAGAGGAGATGCGAGGATAATCCCACATATTCAAGCAGAAAGAGAATCTGTGCCCAGGTTTCCACCACCAATACAGGTCCAATTTGTCCAACTGTGCCTGAGTGACAGATCAGGCTTGCACCTGTCTGTTTGGCACCTAGGATTCCATTTCCTCCCGTCCAAAAGCTTTGGCACAAGCCAATCTGCTCCATGGGCAAATTTTATCCCATGTAACCTAAGCAGACTCTTTGTCAGCTCTCCCTGTGTCAGTTTACAGCAACAGCATGAGCGCCAAAGAGGCAAGTTTCCCTTCTATTCCCTACTTATTTACTTAGCTCATCTAAACTTACAAAAGGCTTAATGGGCAGCGTTAAGATAAATTCAACGGTGTAAATAAGTTTTGATGGATGTTATAATGGAATACTGAAAGGTTTAGTTTATATAAAACATGCAGGGATTTATGCTGCGCAAAATGAACCATGGAAAGAGAGGAAGGGAAGTCATTGATACGTTAAGGCTGTTTAAGTGAATATTCTGAAATGTAAAAAAGAAATTTAATAAAAACTGTAATAATAAAAAATATACTTACAGAGGCTTTCACTAAGAGCCAAACTACAGGAAACGCCGTATTTGCATTTAAAGTGCAGGATTTTGCTGTTTTTAATGGAAATTGCATCAGCGGGGGGCGGGGCAGGGGCGTTTTTGCTGATTATTAGTGGGATCAAAGCAAATATGGAGGAGAGGGGATCTAACCCTATCCCTGAGGAAGAAAATCCCTTTTCTTAAGGTGGAATTTGCATTAGTTGGAAACGATGCCTTATGAGGAACGGCTAAGGGAGCTGGGCATGTTTAGCCTGGAGAAGAGGAGGTTAAGGGGTGATATGATAGCCATGTTCAAATATATAAAAGGATGTCATATAGAGGAGGGAGAAAGGTTGTTTTCTGCTGCTCCAGAGAAGCGGACACGGAGCAATGGATCCAAACTACAAGAAAGAAGATTCCACCTAAACATTAGGAAGAACTTCCTGACAGTAAGAGCTGTTCGACAGTGGAATTTGCTGCCAAGGAGTGTGGTGGAGTCTCCTTCTTTGGAGGTCTTTAAGCAGAGGCTTGACAACCATATGTCAGGAGTGCTCTGATGGTGTTTCCTGCTTGGCAGGGGGTTGGACTCGATGGCCCTTGTGGTCTATTCCAACTCTATGATTCTATGATTCTAGTTCAGTTGGTAGAGCGTAAGACTCTTAAATCTCTGGGTTGTGGGTTCGAGGCCCACATTCCTGTACTGCAGGGGGCTGGACTAGATGACCCTCGTGGTCCCTTCCAACTCTGTAATTCTGTGATTCCTCCAATGGCACCAAGAAGGGATTTCCTCCCAAAGTAAATGCCACCTTCAAAAAGCTTTGGCACAGCAAGAAGAATGGGTTAAAACCCTCTCCTTACCTCCTGTGCTGCCATTAATCACTCCTCCCCAGCTGATGCAGTTGGCATTTTTAAAAACTGCACACATTTAACATCACATTTAGCTTGACCCTAAGGAGTAGGCGCTTTCGTTCTTACTGTGCATATACAGAACAGACTACAGCACTGTGAGAGAATTCACCCATCAAAGTTTAAGCAATTGAAAACACACTCTCTCTTTCAAAGCCACACTCCTTACTTATGGAAAAATATGGAAAATGTGACCATTTCAGCTTTATAACAAAGCAACTGCTTAGCATTCAAGGTCATGTAAGGCTGGTCATTAAATGTTGTTCGGATGCCTGATTATCGTCTTCCAAAGCAACTACAGTGGTACCTCGGGTTACATACGCTTCAGGTTACATACCCTTCAGGTTACAGATTCCGCTAACCCAGAAATACTACCTCGGGTTAAGAACTTTGCTTCAGGATGAGAACAGAAATCGTGCTCCGGCGGCGCGGTAGCAGCAGGAGGCCCCATTAGCTAAAGTGGTGCTTCAGGTTAAGAACAGTTTCAGGTTAAGAACGGACCTCTGGAACGAATTAAGTACGTAACCAAAGGTACCACTGTACTCTATTCCGAACTTAAAAATGGAAAGCGTAATGCCGGTGGTCAACAAAAGAGGTTCAAAGACGCTCTCAATCTAAAAAAATGTAGTATAGACACCGACAACGGGAAAACACTGGCCTGCAAGCACTACAGGTGGAGCTAAGCCTTTACCAAAGGTGTCGTGGGCTTTGAAGATGCTCGAACTCAGGACGAAAGGGAGAAACGTGCTAAGAGGAAGGCACATATGGCAAACCTTCACAGTGATCAACTTCCACCTGGAAACCTATGTCCCCACCGTGGAAGGATGTGTGGATGCAGAACTGGCCTCCACAGTCACGGACTCACTGTTAAGACCGTGTTCATGGAAGACAATCTTACTCGGCTACAAGTGATCGCCAAAGAAGAAGAAGGCGGCTGGGGTGCAAATTGCAGGCAGTTTCCATCTGTGATAAGGCCCCCCTCAACACAGTGTTTGCCCCTCATCTTTCCGTACATGTTCCCCAAGCTTCTGACTGCTGAGTTAGTCACACTTTATTCATATGAGCAAAATATGAAAACACAACTCACACTTCCTCCTGAAAGGCTCTACCTTTACAGAAACAAAAGCAAGAACTGCCCACAACCTTTAGAGGAGCTCAAGCGCCACTGTTCATGCAGGAGTCACTGTTCTGGGCCTACTTCTTCTGAGGGCAGGCTGCCTCTATGCATTGGGAATGACTGAATGATCGAATCACACAGAATGCAAACTCAATGCAGGAATTTCTACCCCGTGGGAAAGGCCGACTGGAACGAGGCAAAAGCCTGAGCAGTGAATCGTGCAGTGGATGGGTGTACTTTGGGCTGCGCTCATAGGACACTTTCACTACAGTGGTACCTTGGTTCTCAAACTTAATTCGTTCCGGAAGTCAGTTCCAAAACCAAAGCATTCCAAAACCAAGGTGCGCTTTCCCACAGAAAGTTATGCAAAACGGATTAATCCGTTCCAGACTTTTAAAAACAACCCCTAAAACAGCAATTTAACATGAATTTTACTATCTAACGAGACCATTGATCCATAAAATGAAAGCAATAAACAATGTACTGCCGTCACACCATCAATCAATCAATCAATCAATCAAACAGTAGCTGAACTGGGTTCCTCACAAAAACAAAACAAAAAAGAGCCGCAAAAACAAAAACGCAAAATAAATAGCAAAAACTCAAATCAGAAGCGTAACACTCAAAATGGAGCCTGTTCGGCTTCCAAAAAAAGTTCGCAAACCGGAACACTTACTTCCGGGTTTGCAGTGTTTGGGTTCCAAGTTCTTTGAGGACCAAGGCGTTTGAGAACCAAGGTACCACTGTATTTGACTGACTTGCAATCTTGTTGCACGCCAGAAACCAGCACCGTCGAAAGGGTTACGGAGCTTACAAACCTCTTTGAAATTGTCAAATGCAGCCAGGATGATGTCGTGTCCCCCTCGGACCAAACAGACAGCAGCCAACAGCTCCAGGACGAGAGCTTTAGTCCTGCGAGGAGGAAAGCAGTGAGATGAAGGACTCCCAAGTGGGTCATCGTTCCTGAAAAGGGGCCGAAGGGTGTGATGGATGCAAATGGCTCAAGAGAAACTCCCAAGTGGGGGCAGACAGTTTGTGGGGATGGTGAAGGTGACGGGTTCAAGGGTTGCCGTTTCCAGAAACACGAAGCACGGCTGACTAGCTTGAGCCTCCTGGTTTAACTTGCTTGGTGGGGACATCTTCTGCGGCAAATTGGTGGGTGGGTCCAGCCTGCTACTCAAGGGTTCAGACTATGCTACCTTACCCTCCCTCTGTCATCCACATGAGGGAAGTGATGGGTTTGGGGGCATGTTTGGGGGCTATATAAAGAAAAGCAGGTGGTGAACGGCAAGGGGGTTAGGAGAAACAGCTGACTAGGGAGGAGAGTTAATAGAAAACAGAACAAGGAAGGCCGCAGGCCGCAACCACAACTGGGAGTGTGGGGGATGGACAGTAGGAGAATAGAACTGATGCTACTTTTTGTGGGCATTTCTTGAGCCTTTCAGGGTTCCTTTTGTGGGAAAAGCAGGGATAAGAGACAAGCCAGATATGGCAAACTACATCTCCCCCATTAAGCAAAGCCTGGGCACTAATAAGTGCTAATAAAAACGAAGAGTATTTGGCCACACTTTCTGAAGTCAGGCATATACTGTAAAGTGCCATATACTAAGGCATGGGTAGGCAAACTAAGGCCTGGGGGCCAGATCCGGCCCAATCGCCTTCTAAATCCGGCCCGCGGACGGTCCGGGAATCAGTGTGTTTTTACATGAGTAGAATGTGTCCTTTTATTTATAATGCATCTCTGGGTTATTTGTGGGGCATAGGAATTCGTTCATTATTATTTTTCAAAATATAGTCCGGCCCCCCACAAGGTCTGAGGGACAGTGCTGAAAAAGTTTGCTGACACCAGTACTAGGATATTCACAATTTTTAAAAAATCCTCTTCTTGATTGGGAAAAAATTATGCTGTTCACACCCTTTCTCAACTCCCCATAGCATACCTTCCATCTTTTTGTGTGTGGGTCCTTTTAAATGCATCCAAACATAAAGGAAACAGTGGGGCTCAGTGCACTGTAAAGAGAGTCCAGTTCCCTCACTATGAAACCTCCTACCTCCTACCTAGGATTTAGAGAACAGGGCATCCCAGCTGGGAAGGCTCCGACCCTTAGACAGGCCTGAGCGCCATGCATCTCTCTTTTCAGAAATGAAGAAACACATGTCCGGAAAAGGAGTTCCGAGTCCTTACCTGGGGTTCTTGTTGTTGAGGCTCAGTGTGATCTCATTGACACAGGCCGGGTGGTTCATCACGAGGCTGAACCCAGGACTAAGGGAAAGGTGAGAGAGGATGTTAGCAATCCGAGTTGAGCTAGAGGAAATTGGGGAATGGTGACTGAAGGGAGGGAGAAGAGGGTTTCTCTCATTCCGTAGAGGGTCAAGGACTGGATTCCTTCTCAAGCAGGAGCCTTGTCGTACAAACATTGGCCATGCCTGTGACTTCCCCCCGCTCCCCTCACTGCCAAATGTTTTCAGTTTGGACCTGAAGGAGTGTCTCCACCCCCAACATTCAGCCAGGACACTGAGGTCCAGCTCCAAGGGCCTTCTGGCGGTTCCCTCCCTGCGAGAAGTGAGGTTGCGGGGAACCAGGCAGAGGGCCTTCTCGGTGGTGGCACCTGCCCTGTGGAATGCTCTCCCATCAGATGTCAAAGAAATAAACAACTACCTGACTTTTACAAGACATCTGAAAGCAGCCCTGTTTTAAGTTTTTAATGTTTGAAGTTTTATCGTGTTTTTAATATTCTGTTGGGAGCCGCCCAGAGTGGCTGGGGAAACCCAGCCAGATGGGCAGGGTATAAATAATAAATTTGATTATTATTATAAAGGTAAAGGGACCCCTGACCATTAGGTCCAGACGTGACCGACTCTGGGGTTGCGGCGCTCATCTCGTTTTATTGGCCGAGGGAGCCGGCGTACAGCTTCCGGGTCATGTGGCCAGCATGACCAAGCCGCTTCTGGTGAACCAGAGCAGCGCACGGAAACACCGTTTACCTTCCCGCTGGAGCGGTACCTATTTATCTACTTGCACTTTGACATGCTTTCGAACTGCTAGGTTGGCAGGAGCAGGGACCGAGCAACGGGAGCTCACCCCGTCGCGGGGATACGAACCGCCAACCTTCTGATCGGCAAGTCCTAGGCTCAGTGGTTTAACCCACAGTGCCACCCGCATCCCTATTATTATTATATGGATAATAGGCTGGACACCATACTTTGGGGGTTTTTTGGCAGAGAGTTGCAGGGAGCATGGCTCCAGATGTATATGTTCATGCCATTTTGATCTCTGGTCTGAAGGTTTTTGCATCATTTCAAGAATCTGCAAAAACCCGTTTCTGTGGGCACAAACCTCCCCAACGTCCCATCGCCCGCGGTCACCTGGTAATTCATGATGGCACGGAGGCACATGATGCAGACGTGGACGTCGTCCTTCTGGCTGACGATGCGTGAGTTCCTCAGCGCCTTCCTGCTGTGTGCCAGATTGAGTCTGAGGTAGGGAAAAATTGAAGGAGGGAGGAAAGGGGGAAGGAAAGAGCTGCATGAGAAAGGATGTCGGATATCACCCGGCAGTCAAGTCCAACAGCATAAAGAGAAGCAGAGGAGCAAGGGCCCAAGGAGCAGGAAATTGAGGGGAGGGCAGGGGAGAGGATTAGGCTGGGCAGCAGGATTGCAGTACGAGAACCCTTTGGGTCTCGGGTCACGAGTTCAAATTCTGAACAGGAGATGCCACTGCCCAATGAAAAACAAACTCTCTCTAGTCTGCTTTTCAGGACTCCACTGTCTTTAGTGAAAAGGCCACAGGGAATCTCAGCAGGCCATGGGAAGGTGAGCTCTAGATTATGCTTAAAATACTAAGGAAATATAATACTCCATGATAAGCTATTAACATGGTTATGGGTGCAGCGGAATATAGAATGCGGCAACTTTTGGGGGCCCATCCTATTTTTGTTATTTTAAGGTGTCTTATGTTATTTTTTAACGGAGCGTTATAAATTACCATAGCCCACCCTGGGAACTCAGGGTGAAGGGCAGGTAATAAAATAATAATGGCAATAATGATACTTGTGCCAAACGTGGTAGCAGTTGCTCTTCAGATCCTGAAGATCTGAGTTTCTCAGTCTCAAAGTTCCTAGACCTCAGTGTGGAAAATAAAGCCGAAACACACATTAAGCCTTTAAAAAGCTGGAGGTGGCGATGTCTCAAGGGGGTTTCAGAGGCCTGACCTGGTCCCTCCCCTATCTCTGTTCCGCGCCCCCTTCCCACCACTTGCCGTACAACAGCTCCAATTCCCTGCACACAACAATGAAAACTAGAGCCAAAAGCAACAATAGCAGCAGCAACAACAACAGCAACAGCAAAGCAAACAGTGCCGAAACGTGGTTGTGCAACCGACAAAAATAAAAGCATGCAACTATCTGCAGGTGTTTACAAAATGCATTCCAGTTACAGAGCTTTTTTTTTTAAAAAAAATGGGATTTTACAAAATGGCCTCCCTGCTTCGAGGGCTCCTAAAGTTAGGTATCCGAGACTGCCTGCCAAAATGAACACACAAGCTTAGGAGGGGGGGGGGGAGAACATGCCCTTGGCCTAGACGAGCCTATGGCCTCCGGCCGCATTCGCAGGGGACGTTTCTGGTTAGGTTTGGGGAGAGGCTCACCGCGGTGAGTAGGAGTTGAGAGGAGGCCTGGGCTTAGAGTCCTGCTCGCTCCCGGGGGCGCTGGAGGAGGGGATGCTTGGGTGGACTTGCTGAAAGAATGTTTGGATCTGCTGGTTCAAATGGCAACACCTGAAGGAGGTGGAAGATTGCAATCCTGCAGGACAGGAGGGAAAAATAGGACGCTTCAGGTGGACGCTTCCCCCACCCCCACCCCCATTGCCACCCCCCCCAACCTCAGGGGGGAAAGTGGCCCTCGTGGAACCACAGGGGAAGACTTCGCTGTGGCTGGAAAAACACCAACCTGTTTCAGCAAACATAGCAAGTAAATGTGGCTCGTCGCTGCCCACCTGCCCAACAGAATATTGTTCCCTGTGTTGTGTTCCTAAAATGAAGTTTCCTAGGATCGGAGGCCCTGTCCGCACTAGGCATTTAAAACACTATTATACAGGGTGATTCATAATGAAGTACAGTCATACCTTGGGTTGAAGTAGCTTCGGGTTGAATGTTTTCGGGTTGCGCTCCACGGCGACCCAGAAGTAACGAAGCATGTTACTTCCGGGTTTCGCCGCTCGCGCATCCACAGACGCTCAAAATGACGTCACGAGCATGTGTGGAAGTGGCAAATAGCGACCCGCACACACACAGATGCGCAGACGTGGGTTGCATTCGCTTCAGGATGCGAACGGGGCTCCGGAACGGATTCCATTCGCATCCAGAGGTACCACTGTATAGTTTCCAGATGCTGTAAGACAGTAACAGGCGACGACAAGGACCACAACTGCAAACTGTGAGGTAGATGTACTCATAAAGTTTGTGTTCCGCTACTGAGGCAAGCGACATAGGCAATAGCGCGTGTGTCACGTGGCTAGTCAGGCAAAATAACTGCGTCTGCAATGGAGAAGGCGTTTTGCGTTCTTGAATTGAGCAAAACGGAATCTGTAACTGTTGTGCAATGGCGTTTTTGATCGTGATTCGGGGGGGGGGACCTCCAAGCAGAAAATATATCTACGACTGGCATTTAAAAATTGAAACTACGGGCTGTTTGTACAAACTTAGAAGTCCTGGACGACCATGTGTATCGGAAAAAGTCGTTGATAGTGTTTGCACCGCCATTCAACGAAGCCCAGGAAAATCAACGCATAGGGTGAGTCGCGTTTGGGCAGAAATGGACTGCCGGTTTGACATGTATGTGTGACAAAGGATGCACACACAGAACATCTGTGACTGTTTCTAAAAACAACTTTAAATATTCACCTACAACTCTGTTACAGGAAACGTAAGATATATTACATTCTTTTTTTATAGTGTGTTGAAACTGTATACTTCATTATGAATAACCCTGTACAGTGGAATCTCGGTTTTTGAACGCAATCCATTCTGGAAGACCGTGCGACTTCCGAAACATTCAAAAACCGAAAACTGAAAGCAGAAGCCTCAATACAGTAGGGAAACTCAAAACAGAAGCTGCATGTTCAGCTTCCGGAAAGCGGAGCAGTTAGTTCTGGGTTTTCGGCGTTCGGGAGCCGAAATGTACGACAACAGAGGCGTTCAAGAACCAGGGTTCCACTGTACTGGTTTAACCTTCATTGCTTCCCCCAAAGAATCCTGGGAAATGTAGTTGGATAAGGATGCTACTGAGAGTTGTTAGGATGCCTCTCTATTGTCCGCCACAAAACTACAATTCATAGGCAGCAGTGCCTAGGGAACTCTGGGGAATGTAGTTCTGTGAGAGTTCTACTCTCCGTACCCTTAACTAACCACAGCTCCCAGTATTCTGTGAAATTGTTAAAGTAGTCTAATGGGGCTTTAAATGTATGGCGCAGATTATGGCCAGAGAGTCTGACCTCAGGGGCCTTCTAACTCAATAGGCTGCTGATGTAGGGAATCTGTAGCAAGAGCTTTCCCAATAAATGGCCATAAGAACTTAAGGAGATCCTGCTGGATCAGGCCCATGGCCCATCTGGTCCAGCATCTTCTTCATGCGGCGGCTAATCAGATGCTTATCGGAAGCCCGCAAGCAAAACCTGAGCACAAGAGCACTCTCCTCTTCCGCTGTTTCCAGAAAGTGGTATTCGGGAGCCTACTTCCTCTGACTGTGTGGTGACAGAGCACATCCATTGTGGCTAGAAGCCACAGATATTCTCCACGCATTTGTCTTATCCTCTTTCAAAGCCGCCCAGCCTCCACTTCCTACAGGGCAGGAACTCTTTCCTCTGTGGTTGTCAGGCAGCAAACAGGCCCAAGGATGGAAAATCTTTCCTTGTAGGGCAACCCCCTTAGGCCAGTCATTTCTGAGAGCCACCCAAACTAAGTTGCTTCACATTAAGGCCCTTAAACCACAGAAACAGACTTCTGTTACTCAGAAGGGCTGACTTTCCCTCAAGTCTATTTGCATTTCGTTGCTGCAGTTAGCAAACGGAGCTCTGAGGCCTAAGGCCTCATCCCCTTCCGACCCCACAGAAAAAGAGCAGCCATTTTGTTTTAATCTCTTTAGTGGAAGTAGAATAAAACGGCCTCTTCTTTTACCAACGCAGGGGGGAAACACTCAGGCACCCTCAGTGCACACCTAAGAAATACAACCGCTAGCGCAGAGATAGTAGCTGATGCCTCAATTTATTATTTGCCTCTTTTTTCATTTTTTAAAAACACCGGGATGGCGGCAGGAGGCAGAGCAAGTCTTCCTTCCCGACACAGGGTTCAGTGGGCCACTGCCTTTCTTGGCGTCCATCTTTTCAATCTTACAAGCTCAGACTACATGCAAAGCCGAGCGAGCCCCTCTTCCCCGCCTCCCTGCCCCTGAGGGTCCCTAGGCTGGGTACCTACCGTGAGCCGTCGTCCCAAGGGGAGCGTGCAAAAGAAGCACGGGGTTAGAACAAGGGGAAAGAGGAAAAGAGGAAAGGCAGAGACAGGAAAATGCAAGAGCAGGAAAAGGAAACCAGAACCTGCCATTTGTTAGGCCACAAAAACCATCCGAGGCTACTCATCAATAATCATCAAACTACTCGTAGGGTAGTTTGCTTCTAAGATGGTAATAGGTTGGGAGAGCTTAGAAATTGGGTGGTCGGTTAACTTGCCTGATGGTTGTGGAAACTTTGTAGGATTGAGGGCCAATATTCTGGGCTGATTAAGGGGGTGTGGGTGGGTGTGTTTGTGCATTTGCAGGCCCCCAGATTGGTCAGTTTATGACACTAAATTAAAACTCAGCCCCTGGCTGGCAATATATGTGCATGAACATATGGCGTGTGGGGTGTGTCACCCATGCAAACCAGGGGTTTCTTTCCATGCGCAACTGCTTGCATGTTGAGGAGGCACATGGCTTTTCAACATTGTGGAAACCTGCAACCTCATGCTCCAGGGTCTCTGTATAAGAACTCCTAAACTAGCCCAAACTATGGTGGAGGCGGGAACTGAACCCCCAGTTGCAAGCTTTTCTTCATTTTTATCCCTATTTCCTTATTTAACTGAAGGAAACTTCCGTTCCCCACCACCACCACCCCAATTGAAGCAATTTGGATGCTAAATACCTCCAATATTTTTAGATGGAGATTTCCACATGTCAGCTGAACATCTGACTGAGAATATGGAAGTGCCCTCGCAGAGGCAAGCCCCCTCTACCTTAGCCATCAGGCTTGCCTGAGGTACCCCTTCTTCAAAACTCAGTCCTTTCGTTTTGCCACATTTTGCCCAAGTCTATATTATAGTCTGAAGACCCATGGGGCTACAACCTTGCTGGAGCTAAGCAGCTCTAGGTCCGGTTAGTGCTCGGATGGACTCGCAGGTACACTACCTCAGGTCCCACGATGGGAGA